TTACTAGCGAGAGGTTTCCCTCCGCAGGTTTTACTGCGATTACTGCGACACGTACCTCACCCACGACTCGGTAAGTACCAAACCTTCCGCCTTAATTTCTCTGTCCTATCAAGAGCGTTAAAAGAAAACTTACCCCAGGCTGAAAGCGGGTCGCTTGCAATATTGCGGCGCCCTGCTCGTCCTCTCCCGCTTCTTTGCAAAAAAGAACGAGAACGGGGGGAGTTTGAATGTCGGCAGCGCTCGGCGGTCAAGGGCAGCCGACGCTCGTGGCTGCCGAGGAGTGTTGCGGTGAGCTGGTAAGGGAGGGCTGGCTGGCTGCCTGGGCAACCTCCTCTGCTTAAACTGGAGTCTCGAGGCTTCCACGTAAAGGTTTCGCGCATCACCCGTCTGCTGACCGGGCACAGAAACCAACCTGTTTCATACTGCGAAGTTGCATACGTTTAAAATTATACAACAGCTCCCAGTAAACTTTGGTTTTATGTGGTGTTATGTGGTCTTTCTCAGCCCTCCGTGAGAAAAACCCACTGCAGTGGCCGAAAACACAAAGAGAATGTGAAAGACTACTATCAAAAATGGATGGAGGAACAAGCCCAGAGCCTGATTGACAAAACAAGTAAGGCTAATCCTTCTGTGACCCTGGGTTGCTTTCCCGTTACCTCCCCTGTCTTCCCTCTGGCTGCTTTTCTTCTGTTCTTCCATGCTGATTCTTCCTCGCTTCCCCGGTGAGTCTTTGCTCCGTGAATCAGGAGCGAAAACTTCGCTTAGAATCTGAATCTGGAACTCGTCAGTGTGGGCTTCCGCCTAAGGGACGAGGGCTCTGCCCGAGGGGTGGTTGCAAGCAGGCACCTACTGCTCTGCTGTGGTTGAGAGGGCTGTAGGTACCACCGCCTTTGCACTGCTAGTGATGTCATACAAGGTCTCATCGCACGTTTTTGCTTTTTGGTAGTAGCACGGTTATGTAGAGAGCATGAACAAGAAATCCAAAAGATAGGAAAATGGACGCTGAAGTGTATGGATTGTTGCTTTTTTGTTTTTTTAAAAAAAAATGCTCTGGTTGCTTGCCCTCAATTCTCTAGGGATATTGAATTTTTTTTTTTTTCCTCTCTTGCTATCAAAAGCTTGAATAAAGCGTGAAGAGTTTCCTCTCAGTTTATAGGGTTCTTTTCCTCTCGCTTGTCCTCTGAATAGTGGTTCTTTTCTCTCTCCAAAGAAATACAAATGCCAGATTAACTTTTTGGCGACTTTCTTTAGATCATAGAATTGTAGAATCTCTCAAGTTGGAAGGGACCCATAAGGATCGAGTCCAACTCCCTGCTCCTCGCAGGATGACCTAAAACTA